CAAATTCACGGTCGTAAATCTGTGCGAACCGGTGAGTACTCCATTTTTATTTGCTACCATCACCAACGATAACAATTTCTTAGCCAGTTTTGCGTCGTACCACTTTATCCCCCTAAAACTGTTATACTTCTACCTTTTATCTCACTGACACTCCTTACTTCAACCACTTATGTGGTTTGCCAATTTGTTAGTATTTCTATTGCCAACCTGCGGGACTCGTTAAGTGTATGCTTTTTTACCCGTCATATACCATTGTTCCATTGTTCCATTGTTCCAACGACTCAGCCTCCAGCAGTATCAACTCCATTCTCCCTCCCTCCTATAAGTAAAAACAGTGACTGCAGCGCGCCTGCCTCGACTTCTGTACTGTGTGCTGCACCTAGTAGTCTGTTCACTACACTCGAGACTGTAAGCTACAGTCAACCAGCCATAGTGAACAACCCAGCAACGTACGCATCGGTTGCCGCCAAGCAAACACCGGAAAGAGCACCGGTAACCTTTGTGCCCGAACTAGAGAAAACAAAACTGACGCAGCACGGATGGCACACACCAAGGCCGTTCACAAATTCAACAAAAACACCAGAAACTAAGCCTCGAAATCCAAAACCAGTAGCCACCAGACGCAACCATGGTGTCCTAAATATTGTATGCACTAATGTCCCCGAATCCGAATCCAATACAATTAAGGGTAAGTTGACGGACGATCGAAATCAGTGGGGTTCCATCTGTACGTCGATCGGAGTCCATGCTAAGCTCACGACAGTAAAAAGAATCTCGCGCCACCCAAACGCGTTGCACTCAGGCGAACCCCGGTTACTTCGGGTAACACTAAACTCGGCGGACGAGACTGAGGCCGTTCTGCTGTCTGCGAATCGTCTCCGCAACGACTCAAGTGGAGTGCGCATACTACCCGAAATCCCGTGGAAAGAACGTTCAGGGGATCCCGCCAACAAAGATAGGTACAGAATAAGTCAAGATAAGAAAACAGTGATTGCTCACGGTGTTCCTGAGCTTACTCACTCCTCTTCCGACGATGCTCAGATGCATGACCGCGAGCAATGGCACTACATCCGGAAGGTTCTTTCTCTCGAAAATGTGGTGGTCACCTCGTTGACAAGGATCCCCATATCACCAAACTATAAAGGACGTGGTCCCAGGCTGTTAAAACTTGTGTTACAGTCAGAACAAATGGCACAAACCCTACTAGCGAACTGGATTAAATTCCGTTGCAGATTGCCAACGGAAATTCGTCTGAAAACAGCAAGAACACCAACACCTTTTAATGACAATTCAGTAGAGGCACAACTCTTAGTAAAAACGCCAGCTGCAGGACCCGACTCGGGGACGGTTTCAAGAGTAGCCATACTATCCGGAGGGGCCCAGCAGAGCACGAGCAAACACCAGGATTCGGAGCATCTGATACCTGCTTATATATCAAATACTTCTCGAGAGTATGCAACCCATCCAAAAAACGATTAGTCGCCGACCCTTTAATGGTCGGCGTAACCTCATTTGCTTCATCCACCCATCCAGTCGCCGGCCACCCACTGGTCGGCGAAACTTCACGTATGAGTTGTACAACTTCTGAAACATTGATTAAATCGGAGAAACTTCCATGTATGTACATCAACGCCCAAGGGCTCCTCAGTAAAATTAACGAACTTCGACTACGTCAGGTTGCGAATGCTTGGGACCTAATTTCTATTACCGAAACTTGGTTGCATCAAGAGGTGACTGATGCTGAGGTTGAGATAGCCGGAATGTCACTCATCCGGAACGACCGCCCCAGCAGAGAAGGTGGGGTCCTACTCTACTACCGCAGCAATCTACAATGTACAATAGTTGAGGACCTGGAAACACACGTTACCGACTCACTCTGGTGGCCTCTCCGACTGAGACACAACGATACATGTCTCATAGCTATAGTTTACCGCCCCCCAACATCCACTCTGGAAATGGATTCTTGCTTGATCCGTGGCCTAAACAGAGTAACACGCACTAGGTACAGCCACACTCTCATCTCCGGGACTTCAATCTACACAATCTGGAGGTTTCGGCATCGCCTAGTGAGCAGTTCAAAGCAGACTTGCAGGAACTGATCGCTAATATTCCTTTGTACAATCATGTCACCACGCCCACTAGATTCAGGACAGCAAACAAACCGTCCATATTGGACCTTGTGCTCACAAATGAAGAGCTCATGGTTGACAAGTTATTGATGGATAGTCCATTAGGTCTCAGTGACCACGTAGTAAGAACTTTTGACTATGTGTGTTATGCAGAGTATCCATACGAACACTCGGAACTAACTCATGCAATCACACGCTACCACGTATTGAGAGAACTCGCCGATGCAGCTTCCTGGGAATTCTCAAACAGAAGTCCCCTTGACAACGTTTGGGCAGAGTTCGTTAATAAGCTCAGCGACATCGTCAACAAAGCATCAGAGATCAAACCCCTTCGTCCCGCGAAAATGCCTTCAATTATAAAGAGTAGGACTCGCAAATGCCTGTCGATAAGGGATGCAGCATGGCGTGCCTACAAGATTAACTCCGACTCAGAGACTTGGGGAAATTTCTTGGCCCATCGCAACCATTGCACCGCACTTGTCCGTGAGGACAAAGTAACTTATCAACAGTGCCTAGCCAAAAAGTTCATGGCAAACAACAAACTGCTGTATAAGCATGTCAATAAGCTTCGTAAAGTGAAGCATGGAATACCCCCCACTATTCACGACAGGCGGTAGAGTACAAAGCGTTGAAGAATCAGCTATTGCACTGCGGCTGCAATACGCCCCAATTTTTGAACTCGCAACCTCCACCTGTCCCATAATATTAAGCTCATTACCGACACCTTTGTTTACAAATGTTATTTTCAACCCATCAATTGTGCTAAGGAAGTTACTCTCACTGCGTGAACATAGTTATGCAGGAGCAGACAACATCCGCCCAAAGGCACTGAAGGATGTGGCTAATAAGCTAGCTGAACCACTGTCACAGTTCTTTCAAAGGTGCTTTGATGAACAACGAGTCCCCACTATGTGGAAGTGTGGCATTATAACCCCTATTTTTAAAGGCGGTAGCCGTTCCGATCCTGCAAACTATCGTCCAGTGACTCTCCTCCCTGTGCTCGCGAAGGTGATGGAAGCAGTGGTCGCTGAGGCTTTAATGGACTATCTGGAAAAATGCAACATCTTGGTAGTGGAACAGCATGGCTTCCGTCAACACCGGTCATGCACCACCAACCTACTTATTGCTCGAGGTAGTTGGACGGAAGTGGCCGATGATGGGGTCGGAGTCGACGTCATCTATCTGGACTTCTCCAAAGCTTTCGACCGCCTCGATCACCGCATCCTACTTCAAAGACTACAAAGTTACGGAATCGGAGATCCTGCACTTAGTTGGATTGGCAACTTCCTTTACCAACGAAAGCTTCAAGTGTGTGTTAGGGGATCACTTTCTAACCCAATTGACGTGGAATGTGGTGTCCCACAAGGCTCAGTGCTGGGACAGCGTTTATTCCTGGTGTTTATCAACGACCTGGCAAGAGTCATCTCCTCAAACTTCCTGCTTTTCGCCGATGACGTCAAGATATGGCGGGCGATTACTAACAATGCAGATCAGGATCTGCTCCAACATGACCTAGATTGCATTTACGAATGGTCAAAGAGGAACAAGCTTCAATTGAACATGGCTAAGTGCAAAGTGATGCATCTGCGTCACCAGCTGGTGAGCGCCTACAAGATTGGAGACCACACCTTGGCAAAGGTTTCTCATGAGCGGGACCTGGGTGTATTGGTACAGGAAGATCTCGGGTGTTCCAAACAAGCAAAGAAGGCGAGGAGAACCGGAAATCAACACTTCGGCCTTCTTCGCTGAGCCTTCGGTTGGTTTGAACCATCAATAGTTCCCCAAATGCTTAACGCCTACGTGCGACCTCACGTGGAATATGCTATTCAGGCGTGGCAACCGTGGCAGAAACAGGATCTCGTTGCTCTCGAGACTCCTCAACGACGGGCAATCAAGAATGTCAGGGGCCTCTTTCATCTACCCTATCAGCTTAGACTGAGATCTCTAAGAATTTACAGCAATCGATATCAGCTTTTGCGGGGGGATCTCATAATGGTTTACCAGATTCTGAAGAACCCAAACCACATTTGCCGTCCGCTGCTGGAATTGAACCCCAACATTAAACTAAGAGGTCACCCTCTGAAACTGACAATTCATTACAGCCGGCTTGAATGCCGTAGAAATTTCTTTTCTCTCCGCGTGTGTGAGCCTTGGAATGCCATCCCTAATTATGTCGTCTCTGCTCCCAATCTGGCGATATTTAAAAAACGTGTTGACGATGCATTGTCTCACTTACATTTCCTTTTATGACTTGTTAGCCAGGGGCTACAAAACGCAATCAAACGGTTTATTGCCAAACGCCTAACCATTGGATTTTTGGATGTTTATGTTTAATACGCGAACATCTCCGTTATTTCACATAAGTCTATGGTGAGTCCACCACAACGCTTTTCACTTTATTATGCAATTAATTTTCGCAATAATTTCCATCCCACGGGAATTGTTAAGCGATGCTCTTTTACCCGTAATAAACCATTGTCCATTGAATATATGAGCAAGGGACGAGTGAGATGAACTAATGAAACTTGTTGACGGTGCAGCAAGTTTTGCGGTAACAGAAGTTGGGACTGTAAGGCATTTTCAATCGGATACATTCTTTGGGATCACCGCTGTCGTAGAAGTGGATGAGCTCACCCAGAGGCACTGTCGTCCATCCGCCGAGTTCACATTTCATAGAGCTAATAGTGGTCTTCTGTAGAAGAAATTGAAAATTCACAGAATACTATCCTCGATGAGGTAGCTCTAAGGATCTTAATCAGTTAGGATTATGTGATAACTAATCAAGTGTGATGGTAAATATGAATTGCTGAGAATCTCGGTCAACATTGAGCAGCTCAGAATGGATCCTCGGAAACAGCTGTGTTGAGTATGATGTTAAGGACTGTTTTAGTCATTCTCTGTCGTCAAGTGGCTTATGACAGTCATGAAACAGATCAACCTATCTCAGTGTCAGATCTTCCTAATACCGAGCTATTCCAGGTGACTATAATCAAGTTCGCCGCTAGACTTTCAACCCCCAGCCGAGTAAATCTGAAGTTATTGAAGCAAAACAAAATCTGCTAACAGTCTAGTTATTCGAGTAAGGTATAGAGAAACTAATTTAATTATTTATTCTAATGACAATTTTCTCCAGATTTCAAGAATGTTTGAGCAAACAGAGTCATTGCAAGCATCGAACCTGCTAGTGCACCTCGATTCATTACAAAAAATCGTTCTACCAGCGGATACACCAAACCGCGGCATCGAACTTGTACTCTCATGTGAGTACTAGGATAGGTCCCATAAACAAACGGTCCATGCAGCCAACACACTAAAAGAGGCCTAAGGAAATTTAAACTGGATCGGGTAGGAAGCATTTGCCATAACATTCAGGGTAAAACAATTCAACGAAATACTATTTGGCGACAGCTTCAAGGCACCTGAAGTCTTTGTGATTATTTTCAGCTTCCAAAAGACAGCTTCGCCTATACAAGCAAATACTATCGTATCTGCATCCAAACAATCCCGGGCTACGATTTCCTGATTCGGTACAAGTCGATGGTTATGACAGCTTAGGTGGAGACTTTGTTAAGACAACCAACGCCTAGCAATCCGTCAGAAGTTAGAGTTAGATTTAGAGCGCTTGCAAAAGAATGGAATAGTTTCACGCGTATGCCACTCTTCCTGGGCTCAACCAATCGTTCCTGTAATGAAGCCTGATGGCTCTGTTCACATTTGCCGCGACTATAAAATGACGGTTAATCAAGCAACAACAGAACATTTTACGATTCCACGGATAGATGACATTTACGAAACTTTTCGGTGGACAAATGTTCTCGAAACTTGCTCTAAGCCATGTTTATTCTCAAGTGGAGCTACAGGAATCCTCAAGGGAAATTGGTTGGCAACATCCGGTTTCGGATTTCCCCGTCACTGTGGACAGCCACAGGACGCCTGCACCTACAGAGGGACCATGGATGGCTTGTGCTGCACCACCCACAGCTCCAAACACACACCCCATATCCAGTGTAAACCCGAAGGATTAAGACCGGGAGGCATGTGGATGGGAGCCACGTTTCATCAACGGAGCCGGCCCACACTCCTTCACAGACAAACACAAGCACGCTGCATTTTGGGAATCAAGTGCACACAGGGCGGTGGCTGGACCGTTGTCCGCTCCACACTGAGTGCATGGAACCACTCTTCGAGGCTAGCGCGGCCAAAAGAACCGTGCAACCCGACTTATCCAGCAACTACTAACTGTCTCCTAGAGCCAATATGGACGAGGTAGTGGGTAATAGACAGGTAGGCACCTTGTCAACATGCACATTAAGCACAGCCACACCGGGGACTTCAAGCAACAGCCAATCACTTAAGAGCAAGATAACGAATAAAATGAATCGAGTAATGCATAAGGAAACAGTGAGCTAAATCTTAAATTAAAGAGCATATGAAATAAGTTGTTTACAACCGAATCCGAGATAAGTTCATGAGGTCAGAAAGTATATTTTGGGGAAATGCCACGCGCACGAAAATGTTATCGAAATTAACTACAATTGGCTTAAGCGACGTGTGCAAGTTTATAGAAGAGAGTACTGGTAGATATTCATATGAGAAAGAAAAGCATTAGGACAATATAGAAAACCCACCACCTGGAATAAATAGACTTAGCATGCAAGCACGCGGTAAGTAAATCGAATGCAGCGTATCTACCAGCGCTGCGCTGGTTCTGCCTACGTTCTCTGCAGGACCCGTCGTCGCTTCGGTAGTGGTCCCGAGTGGCCTCGCTCATGCTTCACTAGACCTGCCTGACTGAGACACTCGCGACCGCATGTGCTTCAGCATCATGAGCCATAACCGGTTACCATTCGAGATACACTCCGCACCGGCGATCTTTCAGTAGATTAGAGATAATAGGGAAAGGCGTGCCCGGAGTTTTGCGCTCACTTGAATGGCACTTTGGTTACTGGTCGTGCGGACTACGAGCATTTGACCGCATCGCAACTGTCTTAAGACGCATTCAAGGAGCGGACTGAAACTCAAGGAATCTAAATGTGTCTTCTTTTGTGACACGGTTGAGTATCTGGGATTTCATCTGGACGAATTTGGGTTACATCACCGACGGGAAAAATTCAATCCATTCTGGATTCTCCAACACCCTGGAATATAAAGAAACTGCAATCGTTTCTTGGGATGGTAACCCATTACAGTCGTTTCTTACCCAATTTGGTTATTCTTCTCGCACCATTGTATACTTTGCTTCGTAAGAATACCAGGTGGCTGTGGTTCAATGAACAACAAAATGCTTACGTTGCTATCAGCTTGGCTACCAGCAATGCTAATTTGTTAGTACATTTTGACCCAAGGAAAGCGATCAGGTTTCATTACGATGCGTCACCCACAGGGCACTGGGCCGTACTGTCACACGGAATGTATGACATAATCGAGCGATCAATAACTTTTACCTCCAGAACTTTGGAACCAGCGGAAAAGAACTATGCACAGCTCAACAGGAAAGGTTTAGCGGTTGTCCTTGGAGTCAAGAGGTTTCACCAATATCAATGGGGAAGGAAATTCAAAATCTTTACTGACCACAAGCTTCTATGAACCCTGATTGGTGAGCAAAAAGGAATAAACCAGATGGCGTCATCTCGTATGCAACCTTTGGCTTTATTGCTCTCCGCTTACAATTACAAAATCACCTATGTCCCTGGGAAAGCAAATAGAATCGCGGCACTCTGAGCCGTTTACCGCTGAATCACCTTCCAGATTACGTACTAAACCTGGGGAGATTATCCATCTGCTGTCCATCTGCAATTACTACTACGTCGCTTACTTCTGCTGCTACTTTCGCTGCTACTCGTGCTTCTCCATTACACGCCAACTTTTCTCTTGTTTATAATCTACAACCTGTTGAATTTACTTCCAATGCCCGTCTCACTGGTATACGAATCATCCGCCCATTAGTTATCCTTCAATCCCGTAATTCATTACGTCTGGCAGCTTTCAATGTTCGGACCCTCCTACAGATTGGACAACAGGCTGGCTTGGCGCGCACTCTAGAGTCCCTCGCTATCGATGTTTGTTGCCTTTCAGAGACTCGATTACAGGATCCCAGCACCGTGGTCAATTTGTCGTCCCCAGCTGCTCATGAAGCCACATATTACCTACGTCTGTCTAGTGACATGGAGGCAGCAGCAGTCGGCTTAGCTGGTTTCGGTATCGCATTGAGTGACAAAGCGGAGGCTGCATTACTCGAATGGTTTCCAATCGACAGCCGGCTGTGTGCGCTTCGGCTTCAAGGCTCATGTGGAATCAACAGACATCGTGAGGAGAGGCGCAATTTGTTTGTCGTTTCTGCCTACCCTCCAACCGACTGCAGCTGTGCATCGGTTAAGGATGCCTTTTATCGTGTTCTCCACAACCATTTGCACAAGGCCGAAAAGTCAGACGTCGTCGTCCTTGCTGCAGATCTTAATGCACGACTATATCGTCTGCTTCCGTACGAACGTCATCTTGGTGGCAGTCACGCGCTTGATGAGAGCCGTTCTCACAACGGTGATAGACTTCATAGGTTATGCGAAGACCACCGTCCGTTTCTCGTAAGTACGAACCTCAGGCATACCAGAAGGTAAGCAGCCACCTGGCGTCCCCTTCACTAACGCAGGCGTGGTCACAAATAAATCACATTGCAACCAGCTATAGATGGCGAGGCAGCGTCCGGGGTTGTAGATCGATTTGGTCTACGTACCTCGATTCAGATTATGTTTTGGTCTGCGCGGACATCTGCATGCGCTTCGGCGGCTCCTCAAAACGAAAGCACCGTACGTTTGACACCAACAGCTTACCTGACCTCTCTATTCGATCAGCTTATCAAGTTTCCTTGTCGCATGCATTCATCGGTGCTCCACCTCGAGACATCGAACATGATTGGAGTTTCTTGCATGAAGCCATGCTAACTTCCAGTCATTCAGTCTGCGGATTCACAAGGTGTCCTCTGAGGGGCTGGACTTCCGCACACCTACTAGAATTGTTTGCTCGTCGTAGAACTATCCCGACCAATTCATATAGCAGTGCGTTGCGTCGCATTCTCAGCCAACAGGTTAAGCAAAGCATGCATGCTGATCACGAAATTTGGTGGTCCCAGCGCGTCACAGAGATGGAAACGGCAGCCTTCTCTGGAAACTTTTGCAAGCTCTTATAGGTCATTAGGACCACTGGTCACAAAAGACCTGGTGTCAGTAAGGTCATTTGTGAGGTTGACGGAACGCCGATAAGCAACTTACACAGGCGTATGGACCGCTGGGCTGAACACTTCCGCACTCAATTCAGCTGGCCTCATCCGCCGGTGAGCCTATTGAGTATACCTAGTTGCGCGCCCTGGAACGTCTCATTGGAACCACTCACTGACGCTGAGGTCTACCTTGAGAGCCGACACTTGAAGCCATTCAAGCCTGCTGGCCCACAGGGACTTTCTCCAGAGCTGTTCAACTTCGGGGGCGAAGTAATTATCAACCAGCTAACAGCTCTGTTCTCCAAGAGCCGGTGCGAAGAAACAGTTCCATCCGCTTGCAGCGAGTCAATTATCGTCCCGATCTTCAAGAAAGGTGCCCGTATCCAATGCGTTAACCACAAGGGAATCAGTCTAATGTCCGTTGCCCCCAAGCTGTTAACATCGATCCTACTGCGCAGGCTAACCCCGATCCGAGAATTACGCTCCCGTGAAGAACAGGCTGGTTTCCGCCCCGGTCGTGGGTGTATAGACCACTTGTTTATGCTCCGCCAACTCCTTGAAACGCATCATCTTTACCACCAGCCCACTATCGTTGTTTTTATGGACATCCGAGCCACTATCGACTCCGTCAACCAGGCAGCCTTATGGCGTTGCTTACAAAGGAATCGAGTACCCGAAAAGTATATCGCCATCCTTCAAGCATAATATTGCAATGTCTTAGGTAAAGTGAGGGCTTATGGTAAGCTCTCTTTACCTTTCGCCATCACTAGCGGTGTACGA